CCATTTGTTAACATAAAATACGCGTTTACCCAGGCTGATCCCGCACGGGTTGGTGGAGTCGGCAATAAGTCGGCACCAAAAATCCGTGCGATTTGGACGTATGATAATCATAAACACTATGATAAAGCCCAACTAAGCTGAGATGGCAGTAATTTGCGTGAATCTGTCGGCGAATATTTTAAGACAACTTATACTTTTGAAGCAAAATAGTTCGCGATGTTTAATTGTGGTGATTAAAACCAAAATCATGAAAAAAATAATCTAATTTACGTAGTCCTTTCACAGTGTACCCTTTCACTTACTTGTCGCGCCTCTAAAGTATGTGCCCAATCAGAGTTAGTCTAGCCTTGTGCGGCAATGAAAATAAAACAAAATGACGATGTGAAAACGTGAAGGGCACACTTTAAAACGTTCTGCTGAACAGGATTTTTCAAGGTGAAGTGGTGGTCGAATAAGCTGACCTGACTGGCGAAGATGTATTTAACCTTGAAACCCACTAATAAGCGATGCAAAATGTATTCGCAGTATTACTGTTCAAACGATTTGTATATTACTGTACAACGGGTTATCATCAACAGCAGTACAACATGGTATAAAACTGTATTTTGCGACAAAATTTCAAAGAGCGCAATCATAAAGTATTATTTTATTTTTAAAAGTCAGATTTAAAAATAATTCAACACAAACACCTCAGCATCACAATATATGTTCATCCCATGATACTTTATAATGAATGAGATATAAAGATATATCTTCATGATTACTGTCGTACAACACCGCCCTCTTGCGACACATGATGGTTAGAGTATGGCGGGCGAAAATCCCGGGCGAAAATGATATCAACATGAACCATGGTTATACTCTATACTAGTATTTCAACTAAATGGCGCATGCGTGTTAGTGACTGGGTACGTATACTATATGATAGAGTGGCGTTGATTTAGAGTATCGGTATATGACCAAAACCTGAATCATACTAAAAATCTCCCACCTCCTGAGTCCTAATTTCTCCCCAAACCGTATAATCCTAAGATTTTGCAAACATGAATTGACGGAGCAATTGATAATAGCCATGGCGAGAATATTGCATACCTCTATTCTACACCAATTCATTCATCCAGAGTTATGGGGAAACCAGAATTGTAATTGGTTTATTACAGCCTATGACATGATGGGAGTGTGTACATATCATACATATTCGAATACGAACACAACGTTCGGCACTATCAATGTGGTGAAACCTCATTGACGGTGCTGAACGTGACATAGCATGTAACGTAAATTTTATCCCAAGTCCCATTATCTCAGGGCCAGGGTGTGAAAGGTTTGTTTACCCACAACACGGTTCGAGACAAACGAACGCTAGCCGTTTCCAGACCGGGGATAGAGGGACTGCATTGTAACATCACTATATTGTCTCTTGTTTTCACCATCGTTCAATGCCGCAATGTATTTAGTTCGTTTTTAGTTATTTGTCGTATTTCTGTCGTATTTCTGCATTGTTTACTTGTTTGTTACCGCCGGTAATCGTTTGTAACCGTTTTATAAATTTTTGAAAAATCAAGAAAAATTGAAAATTTCCCTTCTCGCTACCTTAATGTGATTTATTCTGAACCTGTAAATGTGTCAAACGGATGATCGGTATCCCGATGGTACATGGCAGGGAATTCGATTCCCACATTATCCGTGCCAAATTGGTGTTGGCCTACCCGTGGGGTTTCATGGTCCTTTTTTCCTGTCCAGTTGATTTATTATTTACCCGCTGATCAAAAAAGGATCTATCTATCTATTCCACCTGATACGTTCTACCTTAAAAAACGTCCAAAATACTAATTGTATCACACCACTCGTCGGATAAATACCTGTAATATTGTGACGCGATGGGGCGCACGAAAAACACTCGGTCATATCTTTAAACGTGTTTGTGGGGGGGGGGGGATAAAATCGTCATTCTTTTCTGCTCACCGATGAGCACAGAACGCACGTCGCGAGA